AATCCACTCACCTCAGCCTCCCAAGGCGTGGGATTACAGGCTGAGTCACCAAGCCCGGCTCAAACAAAAGATTTTAAAGTTTAATTCAAATTGATAGAACTAGGTTTCATTTCATAAAAACATTCATTTTAAAAAGCTTCTTGAAAACTCCAAATGTAATTGAAAGCAGACAGCAGTACAGTGAACCTCTGTATTCACTGCCTGCTGCGACAGTTATCAACTCATACCAACTCCCTGCTCTATGCAACTGTGACACAACTGCAGAAAAGCACACCATTTCAGCCATAATGCCTCAGTTATTCAGTACTCACTTAATTAGGCTCTGCACGCTCTTCCAGTCAGCCCTGGTTATGACTGAGGAGGCACCAAACACAGCCAGCTCTGGCTGCCAGCTCTCTGGGCTACATAGAGTGGGCTCCACCACTGTCAAGGGCAATGTGGATGCCCCAGCGGGGCCATGCGCTCACCTTTCACATGGACTCGTGGCAAGATATTCTGGAAGGGTGCTGCGTGCAACAGGTCACACACCTCCTCTAAAGACTGGGGCAGAGAAGGAGAAGGTCACATTAGGATGTGTGTCTCACAGCAAAGGCAGACCGGGAAATCTGATGCTGAAAAGAAGCTACTTCTTTTCTTTTAGTGTAAAATACACTCGAGGTAGTCTGTCAGGAAGGTGACTGACCCCAGGGGGGTGGAGAACAGGAATGCAGGGGGAAGGACCCAGTGGGAGGGGGTGGGTGGGCTTGGCAGGCCATGGCCGGTGATGCTGACCAAAGCACTGTCTGCCCATCTCTGCTATTTCCGGGTGCCACTGCCAAAGAGCTCAGATGTTTGCCCCAAACCAGACCAGAAAAAGAGTGAGAACAGTTTTGAAACAGCATTAAACACTAAGGAGCAATCTAAAGCTATTCTAAGACAAAAAAGCGTGCTAACCACACACACACACATGCTACAGAAGAGCCAGATTACCAGAATTTTCAGGATGGGTTTAGAGAAAAGGATTGAAAAAACAGATGGAGATAATCCTTCAGAAAGCAAGAGGGTGAATCTTCCCAACACACAGATTCAGAATAAGAGTAATAATTTTGATTTTTTTTTTTTTTGAGTTGGAGTCTCACTCTGTCACCCAGACTGGAGTGCAGTGGCCGCTTCCGGCCACCGCAGCCTCGACCTGCTGGGCTCCGGCGATCCTTCCGCCTCAGCCTTCCCAGTAGCTGGAATTACAGGCATGCGCTACCACGCCCGGCTGATTCTTTTGATTTATTGTAGAGATGAGGTCTCGCTGCCCAGGCGGGTCTTGAACCCGTGGAATAATTTTGATTTTAAGATAAAACCAAACCCTGGGGCAGATGTCTCATCATGGGAGGCCCATGCCACACACACAAGCCCTTAGCCAAGAGAGCACTGGGGCACTGTGTCAAGGCCAACCTGCATTTCTAATGCATGGCAGCTTAAAGGACACACCCATAACATCTCCATTCATCATGATGGAAAGCACACAGATGCCACAACATACCTTATTACCACCCTTGTCTGAGAGGCCAAGACGAGCTCCAAGAAGTGAGCCACATCCGAAGCCTTTAAATCTGCCCTGGGTGTGACATTTGTGGTCTTGGTGAGAAAGGGAGCCCCCTTCCACACTGACAGGCTCACTCCTGTAGGACCTACTCGAAAACATAATCCCCTGATTCCAACCTGAGCCCAGGCTCTTGAGCAGAAACTACCAGATGCAGAAGGGAACTGGGAAGGGAGGCTGGCGTGCTGGCAAAGGGCAGGGAAAGGGCAGCCACAGAGGTGCTCTCTATTCCTCCGCACAGGCCAGAGCTGTAGTGGAAGGCCAAGGCCGGCAAGTGTTGTACTGAAGATCAGTTGACAGTGGTTGGCCTCACCCCTGTGTGGCCCCAGGACCATGCCCATCACTCAGGGAGCTGACAATGGGATGGAGACTTGAGACACTGACCTGAGCTGTGGTTTCAGGTGAGTGCAGGAAAGGGAGAACACCCTGAGATCTGTGCCGACTAGGCTCCTAGAGAATGGGGGAGCCCCCAACTCCTGAAGCATCAACCCCAGTGGGGCACCGGCTGCTCCTAGAAGAGATATGCTTGTTTCGAGACAGGTAACAGATATGATTTAGGATCTGGCCAGGCAAAGTTCACATCAGTGCAAACTCCTCTTTTCCTAAGTTTCCAGTGCAGCATCATACTCCATCCAGAAGCCAACAAGTGTGTACAATCTGAATGACAATGGGTAGAGACCGTTCCTTTAAAATAGTAAGAGACTGTCCTAATAAGTTCCATCCTTCCTGTCTAGATGTCTGTGGTTCTGTAACTATTTTCTATCTGTACAAGGACTTCTTGATATCTATTTTGTAGGGGAAAAAAAAGGTTTTGACAGCATCTTATTTCCATAAAAAGGTAGCTGGACAAAAGAGAAGGCTGCCCCTAGGAGTTCCCTGTCCCTATCTGCAGCAATTCCATAAGGCTGTCTCCCCCACCAAGGCCAGTGACCAGAGAGGCATTATCAGGATTGGACAGCCAGGGACGCTGTGGTTTGAATGTGGCCCGTCCTCATCAAAACTCATATGGAAACTTAACTGCCACAGCACCAGCATTGGGAGGCATCCCCCGAGGTGATGGTTGCTGAGATGGAGTTTTTGCAAGGCCAGGTGAGTTTATGAGGGGCCTCCGTGTTTTTCCCTGCACTTGCCACTTCCCTCGCACTCTCCCATGCGTGGAAGCAGCATAAGACCCACAGATGGGCTGCCGATCTTGGACGCCCCATCCTGCACAGTCAAGAACCTAGTGACTCCTTTTCTTTACAAATTGCCCAGTCTCCAGTGTTGTTACAGCAACATGGAATGGACTGACATACTTTGTAATGGCACCTTATGCTGTATGCTCAGGAAAAGTAGCCATGAAGGGACTTTTCCTATATTAAGTATTTAAAACTCATGACAAGCAATTATTATTTTTTAAAATGCTTCCTAACTTATCTGGCTTTAAAAGATTCCCATTTATTTGGGGAACACGTCCTGAGAGTGAGTGAGGCCACCCTGGACATCGGCATCTTGCCTGCCTGAGACTCTGGCGGGTTCTCCATTTCACACCCTGCAGTCCTGCTGTGGGAAGGGAGACATGCAGGGGCTGTTCACTTGGGGTCCCGTGGTGCCACCGCTTGGGAAGGGTCTACTGAGGACTGCAGGGATGAGGAGTGAAGACACAGGCCTGGTGGAGGCTGCCAGCTCCTGTGTCACCTGCCTTTGGACTCCCTGACACACGAGCTGACGCGATCTCTTTTCCCGCACATGCTAGCAGTGAGGCAGCTGGTCCAGCGGTCAGCCCCGGCGGCCTACCAGTCTGACAGTATGAACTGCAATACAGGGCACCCTAGCCCTGTCCTTCTAGAACACAACTCTGCCTCCACAAAGCCATCAGGACCAAAGACAGGAGCCTGCCTTAAGAAGCAATCTAGCCAAGATCTCCCCAGACAAACCCAGAGATGTACCACAATCCCTTACAACAAGTCAGCAAGTTTCACCGACACACTGGCAAGCTGATTCTGAATCCACTGGGCACAAAGAGCCATAAAGAAGTCCATATGCCTGAGGAGACTGAGGCAGGGAACATGCAGTGTCAGGAGTCAAGACTCCTGTCAGAGCCACAATGTGCGAGATGATGTGCTGTCATGCCAGGGCAGCCATGGAGCAGGGGGATGTTGTGGAACCAGAAGACAGACCAGAACAACCCCAGAGGCCGGCAGGTGGCTGGTGTCATCACTGGGCAGCCAAGGAAGAAGCCCTCTAGCCGCTGGAGGTGGGTAGCTGGGGACCACAGGGGAAAAAAGAAGCTTCAAACACATCTTACGTTCACACACAAGCCAACTCCAAAGGCATATAAACTTTGATTAGAAGGCAAAGCTCAAGTCCTTTCAAGGAGAACAAAAAGAAGATGACCCTAGGTAGGAAAAAAATCTTCAAAAGGATTTTTAAAAGTGCTAATCATAAAAAAGACTACATTCAAATGAAGGGTCGTTTATTAAAACTCACTACTGTCAGCTGGATGCAGTGGCTCACATCTGTAATCCCAGCACTTTGGAAGGTAGAGGCAAGAGGACTGCTTGAGCCCACGGGTTCGATACCAGCCTGGGCAACACGGTTGCCCAAAAAATTAGTTGGGTGTGGTAGCACATGCCTGTAGTTCCAACTACTTGGAAGACTGAAGCAGAAGTATCGCCTGAGCCCAGCAGGTCAAGGCTGGGCGACAGAGTGAGACTCTGACTAAAAAAAAAAAAAAATCACCACTATCAGAATAAAAAGACAGGTCACAAGTGGGAGAAGTGTTTGCAGTGCATGTAACACAGAAAGGATACTCCAAGAACATCTACAAAAAGCTGTAGGAAAACAGGCCAAAGAACCAAGCAGGCGTCTCCCAGAAAAAGCAGCAGGAGGAGGCGAGGAGTGTATGGAGACGCCATCAGGGGAGTCTAGGAGGGCAGGAGAGGGCCATGTCAGCTGATACAGCATGCAGGGGACGGAGGAATAGGCAGGGAACACCAAAAGGAGGCCGTCAGTCATGACGTGGGCGGGCCACCATGTGCATCCTGAGGGCTGGGCTCTTGCTGCTCACTCATGGGCACACGTGGCTACGTAAGCCCATCACCGATCAGTCACATGCAAGCTCGGTTTCCCTGCCCTACCAGGCCACCCACCAGCTGTTCGGCAGCCTCAGGTGCACCGAGCTCTCCCTCACAGTGATGGTTCACACAGGGGCACCTGGTGTGTCGCTTCAGACGTCGCAAATGCCATATCCTAAAACATTTTCACAACATCCCCATAAAAAACTCTGGAAACAACTACATGCTATTTTTGCTTTTCAATTGCAGGGAACACGTTTGAGTCCAGGTCTCCACAGCTGTGAATAAAGAATGGCACGCCACCACACACTGCCCACCACCTCCCAGAGCCAGCTGTTCTCTGGGGCAGAAGCCGGCACTCACCAGGCTCTGCTCGATGAGCAGGCAGAAGAGCACGGCATTGCCCACCTCACGCAGGTTCTGGAAGCACACAGTCTTCAGCTCCGCATATTCCACGATGTCCTTCAGCTGGTGGTGGAAAAACTCCAGGATGCCTGTGGCGGCGGAAGGGTGTGGTGGGGTTGGCGGGGCAGAGGAGGCAGACCCCGGGCTCCAGGCCACAGCTGGGAGCACCCGCCATCTGACACTGCCCCTGTGCCCATGACATCAGTCCCTGGCATCTTCATTTAAGAGTAGTTTTCTGCCCCTGGGCACAACCTGCACAGAGCTCGTGGAGCAGGGCCTCTCTGTGTGGGTCAGCCACATCTTCTGAGAGAAGGATATGAAGTCAGGAAGTGTCACCCCATCCCAGAATGAATGAGAAGGCCACCCCATCATTCCCATAGGGCTGGGATGGTCCCTGATAAGATTCAGAGCCCCTCCCAGGCACAGAAGGGACCAGACCTAACATACTGAGGACATCTGCAAGGCCCTCCGGAGGACACCCACTCTGTGGGGAGACTACCTGCCTCCCCAGCTCCGGAGTGGGACGGGCGCCCACTGACATCCTGGACAGTGTCGTAAGGCATGAGAAGATGCCAAGCCCACATTCCTAACCCGGCCTGCAAATGCAACACCGGCCCCATCGGAGACCGGTAGCTTGGCTTGGTGGAGCCACAGCTCCCGAGACCCTCTGCGTCTTGCTGATGCCTGTTCCTCAACCCACCTGCCTGCCTGCCTGCCTGCTGGTCCTCCCTCCCACAGCTCCCACCCTGCCCCCCCCCCCCGCCACCCCTCAGGAGGGAGCACTCCTGCCTGCCATCGCCGACATCTCCCAGGGAATGCTCGTCCGTGCCTGTGGATGCCGGCCCAGCGCAAATGCTCCCAGCTGTAGGTAGGACATGGACACGAGCATCTCCTTTACTCTCCCAATGGGACTCATCTACTTTCTGATAGCGAACTGAAATTAGAATCTGCTAAGCAAGGGCCACGCCTCTGGTGACTTCCCTTCATGGGGCTGAGGGACACCTCACTTTCTCCTCCAGCACCAGCACCAGCCTTGGACTGGTGCTAGACAACGTCGGGACTGACCTGCTCAACCGCGCGTGGGCTTCAGTCATTTAACAAGACAAGGCTAGTATTTGACCATCAAGAAAACACGATCAGGTAAGAGAAAAAAGGCAGTTGTCATGTGACAAAGGCTCCTGGAGTCCAATTTGATCGTGAAACCATACTTTTTGAGACCCTTAGAGCTATCTACTTGGATCCTCCAAAACCAGCCTGCAGCAAGCCCTGCGGCCTGGCCCCGGATCTGCAGAGGGCAATCTACACACAGATGGTACTGTCTGGGAGGAGGGGGAAAAGGCTGTGGGCAGGCCCGGGACCCCCATCCCCTGTGGACTGTAGGACCCGGCTGTCAAGCTCCTCACCCTCCCTGGTGGTGGTTCTTTTGGAGGGGAGCCTCACCTTCGCCAGTGACATCAAGAGGGCCCTCAGCTTCCTCGCCCACAAAGAGTGACCCAGCACACCCACCCCCTGGTTCCAAGGTTCATTTGTTCTACCATCAACAATCAGGCTTGGTTCGACCAGTCCACCTCCTCCCCTCCTGGGGAGGGCAAAATTCAACCCTCCATTATTTTCAGCATAAATTCCCCACAGTGGGCTGCTCGCCCTCTCCTCTCCAGGGACACTGCCATGAGCTCTGTGCACCCCTCCCCGCAAGTCCCATGCTCGTGCTCACCAGGAGAGCCGTACTCATGACGGGGCAGGCGGCAGATCTTGGGCATCACCTCCATAAGTGTCTTCACGTACTGCAGGATGGTGCCTTGTAGCTGTGGGGAGATGGCTGCATCAGCCAGGGCCCCTGTGCCCTCCAGAGGCTGGCTGGTATATGTCCCCAAAACAAGTCTGTCAGCAAAAGCCCAGGAATGCCCGAGGCTGCAGTTACTGGTGGGAAGGGAAATCCCACCCTGTGGAGATGGCAACCTTTACCAGACATCTATGACCACCGTCACGTCCTAAAACACAGCTCCCCTCTCAAGACACAGGCATCCTTGAGGTGTGATAAAGACGGGGGCAGCTTGGATTTCCTATGCGGTGGATGCAGCCCCAGGGAGCCACAGCATCAGGACGGTGTGTATTCCCATGACAGATCGGGGGCAGCTTCAAGACTGGACACGCCACCTTCGTGCCTAGCTGTGGGGAGGGCAGTCTCCCAAGACCTTCCAAGTTACCAAGTGTTTGGGACAGAGGGTCCTGCCAGGACCTGGTGGGTCAGGGGTCATGGTTCTACATTCTAATGAATTTTGGTCCTGACCTACATGCATCTGTCAACTTCTTAGGACCCTGCCAGCCTTTGCTTAGCAGCAAATTCATGGCTGTGTCGCCTCCTCACTGGGCTGCTGCTGTCACTGAGGGCCACAAACTCAGTTTCAAGCTTTCTCTTGAAACATGGGGAACACGGGAAATACATAAAAATCTCCACTTGGCAATGAAGACACATCAGTCAATGCGCTCAGTCACAGAGAAATTATTAAAATAATGAAAAAAGACGAAAGATTTTTAAAAGCTCTCTCTTGCTGAATGACAGAAACAAATTATGTGTAGAAAACTAAACCCATCAGAGCCGACAAGACAACATCATGCTTGTGTTTCCTCTTCTCAAGGCTCCTGGCTAAAGGCTCCTGTGCACGTGGCAACATGCCCAATTCTGACCTTGGTCCAAAGTTAGACTTATGTGCCACATCCCTTCCTCATGTCACTTACCCCTGGCATCCAGAGAAAGGGTACGTGCCACCGGCCTTCACATGGAGTAACACGGCACTCACACCAGTGCCCCTGCAAGGGCATCTGGCCGCAGGTGAAGCTGCTGTACAGCGAAGCCTCTTCCTCCTGCAGCCCCCACCTCTATGGACACCTTGAAGCCTCCACAGACCACAGACATGCAGCCCCTCGAGACCCACACTCCACTTCCCCAACAGGAGAGGGAATGCTTAGGGGAGACTGGTGAGCATTCAGTGCTCTCAATTTCCCTCTCGGGACTTCTTTAGCTGCATCCTGCAGATTTTGATTTGTTATACTTGTATTTCATTCAATTCAACGCATTTAAAAATTTCCCTTGCAACTTCATCTTCGAAAACTGTGATTTAAGAAAACTCATATTTCACGAATGGAAACAGGCTTTTCAGAGTTGCCCCTTCCCAGACCCCTGCCTATGGAAACACAATGACTGGAGGAAGCAGGCGGGACAAGTGTGCAGATCCCTCATGGACACCAGAATCCGAGGATTTTAATTGTATTATTATTTTTTAATCAAATACTTTTGATCAGAGAGTTGTTAAATCTGTGAGTGGAGGCTGTGGATCTGGAAGGCTGCCTATATTCTCTTGTAAGGAAAGCAATATTTTGGTAATTAAAAACTCTTTCCATGTATCAGTTAAAATAGCATGGATCCATTTGAGTTTGGAAAGATGGAGAGAAATCAAACTATAGATGGCCAGAAACATTTGAAGTTAAATTGAATCACTCATTTATTACGGAACCACAGTCCAGGCACAGAGAGAAGACCTGGGCTTGTCTACCCCCATGAAATCATGCCACGCAAAGGATCTGTCCAAGGAAACCTACCAGGCTCTTGACAACCTTCAGCAGCTCCTCCATGACCACGGCAATGCCCTGGTAGCCTAGCAGCCGGCAGATGACTTGAAAGTGCGGAGGCCCCACAAAGTTTCTATAACTGCCATAAATGCTGGAGTAGGCTAGGTTCAAAGCCTGGAAAACAGGGTGGAAAATACATCCTGCGTGAAGATCACTCAGCATACACAGCACCCTTGGGTGGAGGGATCCAGTGAACAGACCTGTAAAATACACTGCCTTTACTGGGATGTAGGGTCATGAAACCTGTTCAGGCTGTTATGAAAAGCAAACTTGCTAAAATAGAGAAAGAAAACAAAATCATTTGGGGTTCCAGCATCTGTTGAACTGCCAAGTTGATAGAAGCCACTTTGAGATCTGGAATAATAAATGCACACATCTCCGAGTCTCAGCCCTGCCTTCCCATCTCCTAAGGGAGATGCCTGAGAACAGGTCCTGATGAAGCAGTGGGTGCTGCCTTCTCAGGGTTGCACAGGGTGCCCTAGGGGTTAGGAGAGCAGTCCCTGAAGGATGCGAGGGTGGTCTTGTGAAACAACCATAAGCTCATCTAAAGACATAGGTGAACAGCAGGGAGACCCCTAAGCATCTAGTGCTATGCATTTCCCTCTCAGGACTTCTTTAGTTGCATCTCACGGATTTTGACTTGTTATATTTGCGTTTCATTCAGTTCAATGCATTTTTTTTTTTTTGAGTTGGAGTCTCACTCTGTTGCCCAGACTGGAGTGCAATGGCCGCTCCCAGCCACCGCAGCCTCGACCTGCTGGGCTCTGGCGATCCTTCTGCCTCAGCCTTCCGAGTAGCTGGAACTACAGGCGCGTGCTACCACGCCCGGCTAATTTTTTTGATTTATTGTAGAGACGAGGTCTTGCCAAGTTGCCTGGGTGGGTCTCAAACCCACGGCCTCAGGCAATCCATTTGCCTCGGGCTCCCAAAGTGCTGGGATTACAGGCCTGAGCCACCGAGCCTGGCCCAGTCTACTTTACCTTATACTAATACAGCCACTCCTGCTTTCTTCTGATTAATGCTTGTATGGTGTGTATTTTCCCATTATTTTACATCCAACCTACCTATATCATTAAAATTAACTGAATTTCTTATAATCCATTCTGTTAATCTCTGTCTTCTAACTGTATTTGGACCACTTATATTAAATACACAGAATGTGATTATTGATATGTTAGGGTTTAAGCCTACTATTTTCTTTCTGTTTTCTCTGTTCCCGTTTTTCATTCCTGTTTCATTCTTACTGTCTTCCTTTGGGTCCCTTAAACATTTTTAATTTCATTTTTACTCGCCTTTAGTACTTTTGAGTGTATCTCTTTATAGGCCTTTTCTATCATAACTTGTCACAGCCTACTGTTATCAACATTTCACCACTTTGAGCAAAGTGCACTAACCTATCTCCATTCAGGTCTCTTTATCCTCCTTTCCTTTATAATAACTGTGTTGAATATTTCTGTCACACACTAAGAACCATACCAGGACTGCCAGGCTCTGCATGTGAAGGGAAGAGTCCTCATAGCACACCTCTCCTGCATCTTCAGGAGGTCCTGTTTGCAACTCCTGTGGCCTTCACCTTTGGATGTCCCCTATGTTACCTATCGATAAGGTCATTTTCTACATCCAGAACACCTGACTGTGCTGGGCAAACCTGTTTAGGTCATTTGTGCAAATAGAATGACTTATGGCCAACAACTCCTCCCCTTCTGGGGGCTCTGGAGTTTCAGAAGTCACAGCCATCATACAGGTGGTGTGTGTCTGTGTCCAGCCCCAGGAAGGCTTGGATCTGAGCGCTTGTGTGGCTTATCTTCACTCCACACATCCTGTGTGACCTCATGAGGGAGGACTTTGGAAGCTCGTGCCCAGATCTATCCAGAATCCATCTGAGACGTCTTTTCCTTTCTGATCCTGCCTTGTATTCTTTTGATGTAATAGACAGTAACTGTGAGAATAAGTGACTCTGAGTTCTGAGAGTCCTTCTATTAATCATCAGACGTGGGTGGTCATGAGACCCCCAAAACAAAAAGTCTGAGTCTAAACTGATTATAAAATACTACACTGATCAAGTAGAACAACATTAAGGGACAGAAACCCTGCCCAGTGCCTGTCCGGTGCCCAACTCCTACAACCCCTCTCAGACTTGAAAGAACCATACAGATTGTCAGCTTGAGCACACCCCCTTCTCTCAGCCTCTTCTCAAATCTCCACTCCTATGCTTTAAATGCTGGGGTCTGTGTAAGATTTTTGCTTGAAAATAAGTTCAGCTGGGCTCGGTGGCTCAGCCTGTAATCCCGCGCCTTTGGGAGGCTGAGGTGAGTGGATTGCCTGAGCCCGCGGGTTCGAGACCCGCTTGGGCAGCGAGACCTCATCTCTGCAATAAATCAAAAAATCAGCCGGGCGTGGTAGCACATGCCTGTAATTCCGGCTACTCAGAAGGCTGAGGCGGAAGGATCGCCGGAGCCCAGCAGGTCGAGGCTGCGGTGGCCGGGAGCGGGCACTGCACTCCAGTCTGGGCGACAGAGTGAGACTCCAACTCAAAAAAAAAAAAAGAAAAAAAGAAAAGAAGTTCAATGCTTGAAAAGAAAAACATGAAAATCATTAGGGAGACCTAATGACCCCACATTACAAGTGGAGAAAACCATTCTCAGTGCTATGGCTTAAGGCTAACGGCTACCAGGAGGCATCCCTCAAGAAACGTGTGATTTCTGGCCTCCTGACCGTCTGCTGCCCAGCTTCCCTTTGGATAAGGCCACCCTGAAAGATGACACATCCCAGGGACTACACAATTGGAGAAATAAACAGCAAGCATGACTTCACCACTCGAGGCGGGGAGGAGGCACAACTGCCAGGAGGGCAAAGTCATAAACACCACACTGCAAGACACTCAGACTCAGAGAAGGAAGCACACAGGACGTCTGGCCTCACCATCAAGTTCAAGATTGCTCTGTGGCCTGTGTCTGATGCCGAGGAGCTGGCCTCGCCTGAAGACCTTAGACAGTGAGTGGGCCACCCAAGGAGCTGACTGTGGGCTCACCAGCTGTGCGACTCTCCAGCTTTCATGACATGCTGCATCTTCGTCTGTGAATTGGGGAACATCTTACGTATAAGAAAAAACAAAAACAAAACCCAGGAATGTGCTCAAGAGAGTGTTCTACTCAGAACAGGAATTCTGTAAGTGACCAAGAACAAAAAAGAATGTGCTCACAAATGGGTCACTCATCTAAGTCAATTTTACTCCGGCAAGGCACTGGCCCTAGCTCACTGCTCATAAGAAAAGAGCTAACTGTTTTTCTGAGTGGGATTCCTGAGCACTCCATGATCATACAGACACAAGCTGCAGACTGCACTGAGTGGAATGCAGCGCGACAAGCGTGGTCACACATGAAAAGATGCTGGCTTTGGACACGCTGTGCAACACTGACACTGTACTGTTCTGGCATTCAGCCTGTTTTTTGGAGGAGAGTCCTCAAGAAAGTATTACACAATCTCTGCAAGATGGGCAGGCAGCACTATGCACTTGTATGAGTGTCCAAGCAATCTAACAGAAAGCTCCTGATCCAGGCTGTGAGAATAAGCACAGTCTCCCCGGGGAGGCTGGAATCTGTGACAGTGAGGGTCAAGGTTCAGGTACAAATGCTTCCATTAAAAAACAGCATTATCGGCCTAGGCAACATAGCAAGACCTTGTTTCTACAAAAAATAAAAATATAATAAAATAATTAGCCAGGCATAGTGGCAAATGCCTATAGTCCCACTGCACTCCATTCTGGTGACAGAGTAACACCCTGATGCAAAAAAAGAAAAAAAAATCAAATTCAAGTCACCTACTCTCCATTTTCCCCAAAGAGAGCACCTGCCTTGCAGACCCCATCAAGATCCTGTGTCCTGGGAGTGTCCCCCAAGGTGGTACCCAGGAACAGAGGTGGGGTGCTCTCTGAGGGCTAGGGAGCTGCCTCAAGGTGAACTCGGACCCTAGACCCCTCAGAAACTGCACTTCCCTGCCTCAAAGCTATCCCTTCTGGACTCGGGCTCTGTTTGGTGTCCCCTTCCCACCTCTCCTTGATCAGGGCACAATGAAAACTTACTGTGTGGTCATGCCCAAAAGGAAGGTCAAACATCCCAAGGTCAAGCCTAGCCCACAGCAAATCCACTAGCTCACAGAGGCAAGAAATGTTTATCTTCCTCGCCAAACCTAGCTCTATCCTTGTAAAACTATACAAAATTTCTTTTAGTTCTAAGGGGATAAATCCTTACATTTTACTTTCAGAAAGGGAACATTAGAGCACTTATTCTAATCCTCTTAAAAATATTATTTCTCTTTTAGTATAACTGATATTACATAAAAGTCAGCCCTAGTCCTAGAAAGAAGGTGTGAGGCAGGTGTTAAGTGAGATGAAGGCAAGTCTTTCCACACCTGCAGGACCACAGGAGGTGAGAAACAGCTTCCTGCCAGCTGGACCGTGCATCCTGCCCAGGTGTACATGTTCTGTCCTATCCCCAGAGAGTAGAGGCCCAAACACCGCAGTCTTGGCACCTGGGTCCAGATGCTCTTCTGGGGTACAGACACGGGTGCATGAAGCCCAGAACCACAGAGCTCCATGTGTCCACGCACAGGTCTTGGGAATGGGAAGGCATCTGTCCCAGCATCCCCAGGAACCAGCACCCAGCCCCTGTGTTAACGAGCACCCAGCCCTGATACTTCTCCTGCCACATTGGGGAGGTGAGGCCACCCACACCCCAGTCTTAATCTTGTCTTTATTTATTTATCTACTTATTTATTTATTTTTTTGAGTTGAAATCTCACTCTGTCACCCAGACTAGAGTGCAGTGGCATGATCCCAGCCACCACAGCCTCGACCTGCTGGGCTCCGGCGATCCTTTCGTCTCAGCCTTCCAAGTAGCCAGAACTATAGGAGCGTGCTACCATGCCCGGCTAATTTTTTGATTTATTGTAGAGATGAGGTCTCACCAAGTTGCCCAGGCAGGTCTCGAACCCGTAGGCTCAGGCAATCCACTTGCCTCAGCCTCCCAAAGTGCTGGGATACAGTCTGAGCCACCGAGTGTGGCCAATCTTGTCTTTATAAAAGGCAAGAACCAATGCCTTGGCCACCAGCGTCCCTGTGATCTCATGGGGCAGCTGAGTTGGATCATTTTTAAAATTGCCATCAGGCTGGGCTCAGTGGCTCAGCCTGTAAACCCAGCACTTTGGAGTCTGAGGCAAGTGGACTGCCCGCATCCACGGGTTCGAGACCAGCCTGGGCAACTTGGCAAGACCTCGTCTCTACAATAAATTAAAAATTAGCTGGGCATGGTAGAGCACGCCTGTAGTTCCGGCTACTTGGAAGGCTGAGGTAGAAGGATCGCCTGAGCCCAGCAAGTTGATGCTGGGGTGACCAAGAGTATGTCACCGCACTCTAGTCTGGGTGACAGAGTGAGACTCCAACTCAAAAAAAAAAAAAATTCCCATCATGGAATTGCTATAAAATAAATTAACCTCTGAAAACCTGAAGACAACTTAATTTTTCAAGGACATCATCTTCACAGCGTCACCCTCAGTCCACCCAAAGTCGATTTCCCAAAGGAGCCTCACGTGCCCTCAGCACATCTGTGCAGACACCGAGAAGAAGGCCCCTTTCTCCTCTTGGGACTCCCTCCGGTCTCTGACCACTCTGGCTCTCCAAAACACAAAGCCCTGATTCGGGGTGGTGCCCACCTCCCAGATGCAAATGCTCCCAGCATGGCCATGCAGGCCACTATGCCACAGGAAGAAGATGGAGATGAGATTCACTCTGCAAGACAGAGGGTGAAGGAGAACCGTCAGACACAGCTGACGCCACTCGGAGTGAGCTGGTGCCTCAGAGGACCCAGTCCTGGTGCTCGGCAGAGGGGACGAAGGGGAAGGTGTGTTGTGAGGGGACAGCCTGCTGTGAACATCTGTGGAGCCTAGCTCTGTGCTTGTGCCATGGGCTTCCTCAATGTTCAGCTTCCTACTGGAGAGACACCTGGGCACTGAGGAGCGTGGGCGGCTTCCCCAGCACCAAGGGACAGAGACACCCAGCCAGCAGCAGGAAGACAGCGCCACCCTCCGTGGGAGGGTCTTTCCACCCTCTCCTATCTGATGAGAACAACAGTGCCTACTGCTGTTCTGGTGAGGCTGGGTGTCCACTTGGTTTTTACAGCATTTCCGAGGAAGGTCGGCTCATTTCCTGTCTCTTTTTGCTTATTCCCTACTGAATCATGAGGTGCCTGAGACAGTCAGGAGACCAGCACTTCATAACCCTCAGGTAAGCAGACGATCCTGCTACTCCAGCACAGACACTGTTCTATCATCTTGCACGTCCCAGGCATAGGTGTGCTGGGGCCGCCAGGCGCAGGTGAGGTGCCAAGTGCTGGGTACCGAGTGCGGGCTGACTGTTGTTTGGGACATCTGATCCCTTCCACACCCACTTTCCCAGTACGGCTCCTGCCTTCTGGTGTGAACCCTGGACAGCCACCCTGGCCCCCTGATGCCAGGGCCCTCGTGAGCCTCTTCCATGCTTCCTCAGCTTGATATTTTTAAACCTTTGAAACTCTCAACAGTCTCACTTATTTTAGTGCCCAAGTGAGGCTGGGCAGCCTGACACCCACAGGCTGGAGTTGTCCAAACACCACACGAGAGCTGATTCAGATGGGTTTTCTGGGCTCGCTGGCTAGTTGCTGTCTTAAATTACTGCTTTTCAGGAAGACGCTTAACGGAATGTAAGGGGAAAAACAACATTTTATAAATGGATGTTACATTGAGGTCATTGCAACTAAAGAGACTTAAACTTCTGCTTCATCACAAACTTAAAAATCAAAACACAAACACCAAAAGCCTACCTTGGATCCATGCAAATACTGGGGCTGTGCATTGGGCTGCTTATCTCTTTGAAATTCCTGAGAAAACGGTAATACTGTCCGGACAAACCTACACAAGAGAGGTTAAGAAAGAGAAAAGAAAACCAAATGTAAAATTCAGAACTTTTCTACAGTTCATCTACTAAATCTTCCAGTCAACTATATAATTATCAAACAGGAAAACTCTAGCAAATTAAAACCCACAGAATGAAGTGGATATGAATGCTCTCCAATATGACAAAGGCATCAAGTTCAGGCCCAAATGAGAGCCCAGTGCCCACCCAGCAGCAGCCTCCCTCCCTCCCAGGACAGTAGTCAGGCTGTTTGCACCCAGCCCCACCTTTAAGAGAGCCAGGCACCATCAAGTGCCCAGCACCGATGCGATTCCAGACACAGCGATGGCAGCCAGGACGGCAGCCCGTGGTGAGCAGGTACGTCCCTGACACTCAGCCACTAGTTATGGGCCAACAGGGGAGAACAAGCAGACTGAAGTGTTTACGACCACATTTGTTTAGTTAAGAGTCTGTCTTGATCGTGGACTAGGGGCCTTTAAAATCAAAGGCATAAATTTTCAAACAGAAAGCATCCAACTTGGTTAATACTTTCAAATTGGAAGTGTTCATGTAAATATAAAACTTTTGCAAAGAAGTATAATAAGAAAAGTATGTGGATCTGCTACTTATTAAATTCCAAGAACTTAAACTCATCTTGCACTGTTAGGAAACAAGGAAGGATGTAACCGAGAAACACTGCTACCACCCAAGGGGCACATGCGAGGGCACTCAGCATCTGTGCCATGGTGCAGGCAGGCAGACAGGTGGCGGAGGCAGCGTGAGCAGCTCACCAGCACTGCTGCAATACTGTGCCCACCCCCTGTAGCCTCACATCACCAGTGCATGCCCAGGAGCAAACCCCACATCTCCCTGCTCTGCGTGGGCTTTGTCAAAAGGATCCTGGACTCCTTTGCTGTCAGTGTGTCATCATGCCTGGCACACTGCAACACAACGCTGGGCATGTGCGTCTGTCTGCATGTGTGTGCTTCTGTATGTCTGCATAGGGATGTGCGTGTGCCTGTATTTCTGCGTGTGTGTGTGTGTGTGTGTGTGTGTGTGTGTGTGTGTATCTGTGTGGGTATTTATGCTTGTGTATGTGATGTGTACATCTGCAGGGGGATTTGTGTGTGTACTTCTGCATTTGTATATAATATGTATGTCTGCCTGAGGATGGGTGTGTCCATGTATTTCTGCATGTGTATATGATATGTGTATCCTCATGGGGATGAATGTGTATATTTCTGCACGTTTATATGTATATCCACATGGGAGTGTATATCGGCATGCGTATTTCTGCATGTGTACATATGTGTGTCCACATGGAGATTTGTTTGCCTGCATGTGTATTTCTGCATGTGTGCATATGTGTCCATACGAGGATGTGCATGTGTCTGTGTATATATTTCTGCATGTGTATATGATGTGTGTGTCTGCATGGATATATGTTTGTCTGTGTAGGTATTTCTGCATGTGGATAACATATGTGTTTCCCCATGGGGATTTGTCTGCATGTGTATGACATGCATGTCTGCATGGGGATATGTTTGTCTGCGTGGGGATATGTTTGTCTACATGTGTACTTCCGCATGTGTGTACATGTATCTGTATGTGGACTTCATATGTCTCTGTGTCTGAACCTTGTTCATACACCTGTTCTTCGAGGAAGCACTGACGGAGGAGGCAGCCATGTTAGGGTGGTGCTCAGGAGAGGGAAACCTGCTCCCCAGCGCTTCCTGAGCACTGCTTGCCACTGGGATGCCCTTCACAGCATTACAACTTGCAAAACTGCTGCCCACATGGCAGTCTCCATCCATAATCAACTAAAGGGAGTCAAGCACCAACATGAGAAGCATTACTTATGTGATGCAAGTTTTTAAAATATCTGCTTTGGACACAATGTTTTCTCAAAGTAAGAATGCTTAAAATGATCAGATTTTGAAAGCAGGCCTTAATTTATGTTGTCTATGACATAACTGAGATGTAAAGCTGTCAAAGTAATGCAATTACTCCCTATAACGTTATTATTTTTTTTTAGAGACAAGGTCTCACTCTGTTGCCCAGGCTGGACTGCAATGGCATGCTCACAGCTCACTGCAGCCTCAACCCCCCGGGTTCGAGGTCCTTCCACCTCAGCCTCTTTTTTTTTTTGTTTTTTTTGAGTTGGAGTCTCACTCTATCACCCAGACTGGAGTGCAGTGGCCGCT